TCCTCAAAGCATCTTTCCAAGGGCACTTTCTCATTCTTCAAGATCTGACTCATATCACCTCCTTTACAGCTTCCTCTTTCTCTCTCCTTTGTACTCCATCTTTGAACAGAGTTCTTCCATATTTTGCTTTCTGTCTATGGAGTTTCTGTGCAGAGGGTGGTCTCCTCATCTAAGATGAAAGTGTCAGTCGCTCAGTCGTGTCTGACTCTTTGCAGCCCCATGGATGTAGCCCTCCAGGCTTCTCTGTCCTGGGATTCTTCAAGGAAGAATACTGGAGTGGGTAGCCATTCCCTTCTCCAGGGGATCTTCCTGACCCAGAAATCGAACCCCGGTCCCCTGCATTGCAGGCAGATTCTTTACTGTCTGAGCCACCAGGAGAGCCCTCTAGGATGAATACGCCCTAAAAGGCAAGAATTGTGACTTGCTCATCCTTTCATTCTCCACACTGCTGAGAATACAACCTTGGAGAATACCTTTTGCATGGTAAGAGGACATCATTCCAGTGCTTAGAACCTCCTCCTGCTTCAGTGGCCTCCCCTGTCAGTCAGTCATGGATTAAAACCCTGCATAGGCCTACCTTGCTTTATTTGAGCAGATGTTGCTGCTGTTACTCGGTCCTCTCTCCTCTTTGTTCCTTGAAGATAAAATCACACTTCAGAACTTTTGTGTTTGCTGTTCCTCTCCATCCTCCATTAAAAAAAAATTTTTTTTTAAGTCTTTTGAATTTGTTACAATATTGCTTCTATGTTTTAGTGTTGGTTTTTTTTTTTTTTTTGGTCAGGAGGCACATAGGATCTTAGCTCTCCCACCACAGATGGAACCCCCACCCCTTGCATTGGAAGGAGAAGTCTTAACCACTGGACCACCAAGAAAGTCCTCTGCTGTTCCCTTTATGGGGACACTACATGGCTGCTCTCTCTGGAATCCTCAGAGCATCTCTCCAAGGGCACTTTCTCAATGAAGCCTTCTTGGACCACACTAGTCACACTGGGACCTCACAACACTCTCTTTCCCCCTCCTCTGCTTGTTACTCTCCATAACATGTATCACTTCCTTCCGCGGTATGTATATTTCACTCATGTATTATTGTGTATTTTTCTGTCTCCTTTCCCCCTACTAGAGTGTAAGCGGTCATCCTAGTGTAAATCTGCTTGTTTACCTCTGTATTCCCAGAGTCTTGGATATCAAGGCACTAAAAAAATATTTGTAGAAAGAGTAAGCAAATTAATAGAAGATGCTCAATAAATATTTATTAAATTGAATAAAAAACGTCAGAAACAGATTGTGAAATTTCCAAGCTCTAAAAATATGTCGGTTTAGGAGCATAGCGAAATTGAACGAGCCTCGCCTCACCGTAAACATCCTCGAGGAAAGATTAAAATCGTGTGCTCGAGGTGGGAGGGGCAATGGGGCCAAAAAGCGTGCGCCTTCGCAGAAGTTTTGGGGGTTGCTTGACTTCCCCCTGCGAGGAACCGCACCTGGGAGTCCGCGAGCTTGCTCAGCCGCCCCGCCGGGACACTCGGCTAGCACACAGGTGTTTTCTTTTAAGTAATTGTGGTCTTCGTCTCTCTCCCAAGCTGTTAAAGGACACACAAATCTTGGGTGGCTTATGAGCCACTTCTCAGCTCTAAGGAGAAAACTACCAAAGGTGAAACTGACAACAAAAACATCACCCAGGACGAGATTCTGGGTTTTGGGGGGCCGAGCCCCCTTTTTCAGAGCAGCGCGAGTGTAACTTTCTGTCTTCTCCCCAGTCTCCGCCTTTAGGCTGTTTATTGGAAATTCTTCTCCCGGGCTCAGTCTTTTAAAGCCGCCGCCTACTTTCCACAGGAGGATGGCGCTCACAGCTCCAGGTTCTCTTCCCTCGGGGACTCCGTCGTATTTTTTTCACGCTTCGTCGCTACTACAGCAGACGCCTGCCCTCTCACTATTTGCCCCGCAATTCTCCGGTGCCTCGACTGTAAACAAAACACTTTAGATCATAGCAAGGTCGGAGTAAGCACAGCCTTTCTGCTGGCAGCCAGACGTCTTAAGGTGGCGTCACTGTGACTCGTTTGGTTTTCAAGATTAACAAAGCGACAAAATGGTGGTCCTACATATTAGTTAAAGAAATATTAAGGGTGCGTAGGGGATGAAAGTATCCAATTTTTACTTTTCTGGAAGCTATTAATTCCACGAATAAAATCAAACATCTTTAGCAAGGTGTAATACTCTAGAATGTCTCAATTTACATAATGTGGTATCTGAATTTATGCTCATATTAAGAATTTTGCTCACATAGAATAACAATTTTGGTGTAGTCCAACAACTGTGTAAAGATTTCAACAACAATCTATAATTTCAGGAGTAGGGTATAAATTATGGTATTGAGACCTGCCCTAATTTTTCTGTCCCTCTTCTCCATCTTCTCCAATTCAGTAAACCAAGTGGGGGCATTCGACGTAAAATAAAAAAAGAAGATGAGACCTTTTTACTTAGATGCCAGGTGAAATATTTCTCCATCACGTAGGATGTCCGGCCTTTGAAAGCACTGCCTCTCTCACTGCTCTCTGGGTCTCACCCTGCCCTTTTGGAATCTGCATTTTAGTCATATTAAATGCAAGGTCATACCAAAGGCCAGTGACAGTCGTGTTTAAATATCAGGGACCGCAGGCCACATCAAGGAAACAGCTGCAAGCAGCCCAGAGCATGAGAAGGAGCCATTTTGAATCATTCATAGGAGATGAGGACCTGCAGACTGCAGACAAGAGAATCACTCTGGGTGATACCCAGAGAAATCTCTCTTGAGTCCGTTTTCCTCAGTGGTTAAAAGAGAAGGTGGAACCACAGGGTTTCCAAGGTCCCTCCTAACTCCTACATTCTGGAGTGTCTGAAGCAAGGCAGGCACACAGAGTGGGCAAATACTATGTGGGTTAAGAAAACAAGTTAAATGTCACACTCATCTGTAGCATAGATGCCTAAGAAAACTGTTGTGCACAATTGCTGCTGGGCACTGTTAGAACCGGAGATCCCTTTCCAGTAAAATGTGTAACTTTGATCCAGAACAAAAGGAGGATAGGGAGGGAAGTTAAAGACCCTTTGTTTCAGATATAACAGCCTGTCCATCCTGTTTTAACTTACATCACCTTGCTCTGGAGCACACTGCTAGGTAAATTTCAAGTTGCAAAGGGGAGCAGAGAAATGCCGAAATACTGGGTTGACCGAAAAGCCCGTTCTGTAGGATCTCCTGGAAAAATCCGAGCCAACTTTCTGACCACCCGAACAATCTCAGACGTGAGGACACAGTTGTGGTTGCTTTAGAAATCACTTCGCAACCCGGACTTTCCGATTCCTTTCACTCCTGGAAGACCCGCCGCCCTTTAAAAGCGTCACTCACTTGCATCTGAATGGTGTTCTGGGTGGGTTCCGAGAAGTTGAGTCTGGTGGGAGAGAAGGGTGGAGGAAGGAAGAAGCTGTTGTGTTTGGCGGCTGGACTCAGGTAGAGGAAACTGCTACAACCCGGCAAAGAATTGAAAAATACAAAGAGGAGACGAGTTCCCACACGCAGCCCGCGTCAGTGAACTGTACTTGGGAGGCAAGAACCTGGGCCGGGGGTGTAACATCGGTTTTTTTTTTTTTTTAAACTAAATGTGTCTGAGACAGCTACAAAGTTTATTAGGGACTTGGGAGACCAGTTGACTTTTTGATCTTGCAATCCTTTCTCATTTTTTATTGAAGGAGACCTTGGGTTCAGAATACATGATAAAGACTGCATCTATTCCAGGGTAATTTATAGGAAGACGTCCTCCTAGGCTTCTCCCCTAAGCTCCTAGCCTCCCCTAGAAATAGCAAAGACTTCTAGGTTAAGGGTGAACTAACCACTGCTCACCCCCAGCTTAAGGCACCCAGGCCGAGGGGCTCCCCGCCTCCCCCGTCATGTGAGCGACTGGGGCCCCCCGGGGGAAAGCCCAGCTAGGGGGCCGAGCTCCCACCCTGCGTCCTCCATCCCCCGCTCGGCGAGTGCGGGGAAAACAAGATCGCCAGCCAGGGGCACCACCACCGGCGGCCGAGCACCTTGGAGTTCTCCCCCGCTTTCCAGGGCGAGGAGCTGGGGAGGTCGGGACGCCAGAGCAGTGGCGCGCGGGCCCGCGCAGCCCCCGGGATCAGAACACCCGTAGGCCGGCGCCGCTGCCCAGGCCCCTCCCCGGCCGTTCGGCGAGCTTGTTTGTCTTATTTGTAATTTCTCCGAGGCCAGCCGGAGCAGGTCTGCTGGCAAGCCGTGCGCCTCCCGCAGTCACGCGACCAGCCCCGGGTCCCGGCCGCGCGCTCGGCGGCGGCGGCCGCGGCGGCGCGCCCGGGAGGCGGGGAGGCGCGGCAGGGCCACCTTAAGGCCTCGTTCGCCAGCCTCGGCGGGGCGGCTCCCGGCGCCGCGACCAATGATCTCCTCCTCTGTTTAAATAGACTCGCGGTGTCAATCATCTTCTCCTTCGTCAGCCTCCCTTCCACCGCCATATTGGGCAACTCCAAAAAGGGGGCTCGTCTTTTCGGGGGTGTTTTTTTTCCTTCCTCCCTGCTTTCCACTGGTCTCACTCTCTCGCCGCTCCGCGACTCCGCGACGCCCGCAAGGTTTGGAGAGGGCGCTCGGGCGGCGGGACCCGCGGGCTCACGGCGGCCGGGACTCGGAGCGGCTCTGCCCCCTCCTGTCCCGGCGGCGCTCGGCTCCCCTCCCCTCCGCTCCCCGCCCTCCCGCTTGATCGGCCGGGATCTGGGCTGCCTGGCCCCGGGGGGCTGCCCCTCGCCCCCTCCCCCAGCCCCGCGCGCGCCTAGAAGCTCGGGCGCTGACTCGGCTCGCGTTTGTTTCTCTTGGCTCCTGGGGCCGGCGCAGGGCTTATAAAGAGGGGCTCGGGCTGGGTCGGGGCGTTTTGTTTTGTTCGGTTTTGTTTGGCGAGAGAGAGAGAGCGCGCGCGCGACAGCCTCAGTCGCCGAGACCCCCCACCCCCACCCCACCCCCCGGGAGGAAGATGTCAAACGTGCGAGTGTCTAACGGGAGCCCGAGCCTGGAGCGGATGGACGCCAGACAGGCGGAGTACCCCAAGCCCTCGGCTTGCAGAAACCTCTTTGGCCCGGTCAATCACGAAGAGTTAACCCGGGACTTGGAGAAGCACTGCAGAGACATGGAAGAGGCCAGCCAGCGCAAGTGGAATTTTGATTTTCAGAATCACAAGCCCCTGGAGGGCAAGTACGAGTGGCAGGAGGTGGAAAAGGGCAGCCTGCCCGAGTTCTACTACAGACCCCCGCGGCCACCCAAAGGCGCCTGCAAGGTGCCGGCGCAGGAAGGCCAGGATGCCAGCGGGGCCCGCCCGGCGGTGCCTTTACTTGGGTCTCAGGCAAACCCAGAGGACACGCATTTGGTCGATCAGAAGACTGATGCCCCGGACAGCCAGACCGGGTTAGCGGAGCAGTGCCCTGGGATAAGGAAGCGACCTGCCGCAGACGGTAATGACCCTTTCCGATGTGTAAAATGTCTCTCTGTCTGTCTGCCGCGCTCCTTCCCCTGCTTGAGGGTCTTTAACCGCAGCTTTCTTTTCAGCGCGTTCTGACTTAGCTTTTGGGGCTGAGGCGGGGGGAGCGCACTTTCCTACTGTGATGTTGTACATGCTATTTATTTAGTTGCGTGCTTGTCTGTTTATGACTTTTAAGTCAGAAGCTTGAGATTGTGTTATCTGATCATTTCTCTAACTGAAAACATCGCGGCTCCTCCCAGCTAGACAGCGGTAGGTATGTGACAACGTTGGGATGTTTATCAACTGCCTCCTCCTTCGCTTTGGAGAGAGAGCTTTGGAGCGTAGAAAATACTTTCTGTTATGTGAAAACAACCTCATTTTGTGCCCTTAAAGGCCACGGGGAATGACGACCCAGGATTGTGGGTGGAGGTGGTGGGTTTTTTGTCCCTTGACTCTTGGGCTCACTTCTGTCGGCCATTGTTTTTTTCTAATAATGATTGTGTGTGTGTGTTCTTTTTAAAATTCCCTCTTGCCCTTAGATTCCTCTCCTCAAAACAAAAGAGCCAACAGAACAGAAGAAAATGTTTCAGACGGTTCCCCCAACGCCGGTTCAGTGGAGCAGACGCCCAAGAAGCCCGGCCTCAGAAGGCGGCAGACGTAAACTACTCGGTGGGTTGATGACTTGGAGCAGATAAGTGACACCCCAATCGGGTTGCAGGAACTCATGTGCTTTCAAGCCCCAAGATAACCCGATCTCAGTGGTGGCTGGCAGATGAAAACTTGTGGGCTTTTGTTTTATGTTTTGGGAGGACAAAAAAGTAGGAATGGGGAAGACTGGGAATCAGTGGGGGGGTATTGTAGTTTTTCCCAGTTTTCACCTCCTGAGATTATTTTCCTTTGAAGCACCAACTGATCAGAGCAAGTGTCCCAAGCAAGTACTTGTAACCAAGGCTCTGTGAGTAGGAAGGTCAGTTCCCTGAAGGTGCCATCAAAACATGTCTAGAACAATAGGTTCTTTTTCCATCTGACCAAGAGCGGGGGTCTGCCTCCATCCCACTTCATGAGAATTCATTTCCCAGAGGACCACGTTGACTCAGTTAGCAGATTTTGAGCTCTCCATAGGCAAAAATGCAAATAAATGATTTAATTCAAACTTTGAGGGAAAAGTGAGGCACTTTTCCTCCCTGAAAAAGTGGTTCATATCCAGATAATAGTTAGAAATGTGACAACAGAAATATGTGACTTTCTTTTGTCTTTATTATTTTCATATGCTCTCACTCTCTCTGGCTTCTGATGAGTTTGGGGGATGGAGAAGGAACCTGTGTGTTTAAAAAAATAAAACTGAAATGGAAGGCTCAAAAATACTAAGGTTCCTGCGGAATTTCTGATAACACTAAAGTTGCAAAGCAGAAGTTAGAGTGACTCTGCCAGAGTAAGCAATCCAGGAACACGTCAGCATGTGTATGCTAATCATGCTATAACAGGAGAAGCTGGGTACTTGTAGAGGAAATGGAGAGTAGTTATCAGGGCTGGCAGGGGTAGGTGTACCCCCAACATTAGAAGTGGAGATTTTTGCCGTCTACTAAAATATGATCAACATGAAAAGCTAATTTGAATAATCAACCCCCAACTTTACATGGATTGGTCTTAAGGATCAAACTACACATATTCATAGTTTGTAAACTTCTTACAATAACTATGTCCTTCTTTCTCCCCACAAACACTCTCACTAGCCTAGCATATAAAGAGATCGTAAGAAATGTTTACACTAACTTGAAATCCTCACCTATAAAAATTTTAAAAAGGATGAAGGTGAGGTTCAAGTTTTGTGTTTTTAAATCAGTGTCATACATAGGACTTGGCTACATAGACCTGATATTTTTCAGAGCTTATATGAAACAGTGCTGTGAAACCTCTACATCACAGCTTATATATATGAAGTAGGTAAACTGGATGAAAATGATTTCTGAAGTAACCTTAACACCTGCGGCTCTTGGTTTGTGACTTGTGGCATAGGTCGTCAGATGAGCAAATCAGACCTGCTGAGTTTTGGTCTGGCTCCATTCTTGCAAACCGAGAAGCACTTGTTAGTAAATATTGCCAGTTCAGAGAATACAGGAAATCGTAGTAAGGACCTATTCATAAGCATTCATGTGTCTATTTCTACATATGATTAAGACTAGAAGAGTTTGAGAAAAAAAAAAGGTGAATTTTCTTTGGAGAGCCTTTATAAGTATCATTGCCAGTTATTTTTCAAACTGGGAAAATTCTGCTACTCTTAAGTGTTAATGGTTTCTGAATTTTCCCATGTCTGTTCTGTTTCAGTATCTTTGACCCCAATTCTCTAGACCAGGGTTTCTCAACCTCTGCACTGCTGACATTTGGGGCCGAATAATTCTTTGTTGAGGGGGGCTGTCCCGGGCATTGTAGAATGTTCTGGGAGCATCCCTGATCTCTTGAAGCACATGCCAATAGAAACCCCTCTAGTCATACCCAGTGTGACAAGCAAAATGTCTCCATACATTGCCAAATGTCCCCCCGGGGGGGCCGGTGGTGAAGGGCAGGCAGCAAAATTTTACCCACTGTTGAATACTACTGTTTTAGACAAAAGCACAGGGGAGAGTGAAATGCCAGTGAGATAAATGTTGGTTGGAGATGACTCTAGTCACCAGCTTTTAGTATGCTAGTTCTTTCCCATTGCTTAGGTATTTCCCAGCTCAAACAGTAACAAAATAATTCCGGTAATATATTGGCAATGTTATTCTAGTGCTTTTTCTTCTAATTCTTTCTCCTTGTTTCTTTTGCAGAACTAAGAGTATGTTTCCTTGTTTATCTGATACATCACTGCTTGATGAAGCAAGGAAGATATAAACTAAATATTTGAAATACATATCTCTGACTCCAAGAATGGACAACCTTTACAAGCACTGAACAGCAACAGACTTAATAACACTAAAGTTTTAGGCACTCTTAAATCATCTGCCTCTAAAAGCATTGGATGTAGCATTGTGCAATTAGGTTTTTCCTTATTTGCTTCATTGTACTACCTGTGTATATAGTTTTTACTTTTTATGTAGCACATAAACTTTGGGGAAGGGAGGGCCGGGGAGTGGGGGGGGACTGAGGAATTGGCATGGGGGGGGTGGTTTAAGAGCTTGCTTCGATTTAGAGCAAGTACAAAAATATTTGACTTGCATGAAGAGAAGCAGTTTAGGGGAAGGGTTTGAATTATTTTCTTTAAAGATGTAATGTCCCTTTCAATGAAAACTGATATTTCATTTAAAAAATCATCCAAATTTGAACACTGGCTGCAGATAATTGCTATTTATTTTTACATGAAGTTTTTTCTCATTTGGGAGCTCTGATGATTCCGTTATGTAGTAGCAAATGGCTTTTTTTTTTTTTTAAACAACAACAAAAGACTCCTCAGTGCTCCCCACTAGTCTCCCTTAAAATAGGAATTTACCAGTATTCAGCAGTCTGGTAATCACTCCAGGTACCTCTGAGCAAAACTCTGGCATGTATGTGGGGAGTGTTCTGAATGCTCAGAATTAACCAGTTAATTTTTTATCAGATTTTGGAGAACATTTCTTAATTTTCTTTTCACTTCAGGGTGTGTAGACACAGTCAAAATAATTCTAAATCCTTGGATATTTTTAAAGATCTGTAAGTAACTTGACAAAAAATAATGAAATAATTTTTAATTTACAGCTTCTCATTCTGTTTCTTAATTTGTCCAAAGGATAGTGGTATTTTTAAAAGAAAGTGAATATAGCGAAAAGCACCCGTGGGTAGGCAAAATGGATGCTACATCTTTAAACAGTATTTTTACATTGCCTGTGTATGTGTATGAAACAAAACCATTTGAAGTGTACCTGTGTACATAACTCTGTAAAGACACTGAAAATTATACTAACTTATTTATGTTAAAAAGAGATTTTTTTTTTTAATCTAGACAATATACAAGCCAAAGTGGCATGTTTTGTGCATTTGTAAATGCTGTATCGAGTAGAGTAGGTTTTTCCCCTTCTTCTGTTCTTCTGTTAAATAATATGGCTATGCTTAAAAGGTTGCATACTGAGCCAAGTATAATTTTTTGTAATGTGTGAAAAAGATGCCAATTATTGTTACACATCAAGTAATCAATAAAGAAAACTTCCAGAGCTATTTGTTGAGTTGAACTGTATATAAATGTACCTTACTAAGCTTGAGGTATTCGACTTAGCATTCTAGTCATTTCCACAAATGTAATATGAAGTGGCAAATACCTAGATAATTCAGGCCTACCACTCAGATGATGTTTATGTAGGACCGAATGTAGTAGTAATGCATTTCCACTTAGTTCTCTGTATGGGTGGACAAAACTTTAGAAGTGGAAAGTGGGAAAGCCACATTTTCATATCAATAAGATGGTAATATTTATATCTTCTAGAATATGAATGTGTCAGAATCAAAAATTCTTATATAAGTGTAGACTGATCACACACTTGCAGGATTGAAAATGAAACTAACATGGTGACTTCTCTAAATTCTGTATTTACACACACACAATGTTGTAAGGAACTAGAGCAATTGTTAGACCCTCTAAGCTACACCTCTCTTCCAAAATATTCAGATATATAGGTCCTTTAGAAAGGGGCGTGCATTCCACACTAATTTAGATAGAACAGGTATCCTTAAAATTTAACTGGCCATCATACACCAATTCCTCAATTTCTAGATTTCCTGGTTACACTCTACACAACCTTAAACTGGTTAATCTGAATACCAAATCTGAGGGTTTGGGGGTCCCATATCCACATAGCAAAGTTATTTTTTATTTAAATAAAGTTAAACAGCATCTTAAAGTCAGATTTACTAAGATGATCCCTCTAATTTAAAATTCTCTTAGAAGATGTGGCTAAGGTGTAAAAGTAAATTATTTTTTCTAGGAATCTGCAAATTGTTAAATAGCAAAAATCTGGATTTGGATTAAATAGTTTCTCTTGAATAGTTGCATTTAATTTATTGCACCTCAAAGGTGGCTCTAAACAGGATAATTTCAGCTTATTTTGACCCGAAATTGCTTATCAAAAAAAAAAAAAAAAAAACCACCAGGATTGTCTGTCTTCGACTGCCGGGAAGGGAAAAGTAGGTCCTTTGGTGGCTGGGCCACATCTTCCAAGTTGGGGTATTATTTTAATTAAAGACTAAAGGTGTTTTTGTGATTCTATTCAAAACCCGAAGGCAGGGTGTTTTTCAGGAAGAGACTGAGAAAGCAAGAAACACAATTCAAAATGGGGAGGAAGGAGTGGAGAGTCAGGAAATAATGAAATAAAGTCTCTCTGAGCCAAAAAGAGTACTTTAAAACGTGTTTCTAACAAATGGGGGTGGGGGGGCAAAAATCCTCTTCTAAAAGCTGCTTCTACCCCCCACCCCCGTTTCTTTCCCCAAGAGGCATCGTTAATGCGAATTTTTAGAGATTGCGTTTTAGGAGTACAGGGCCAGAAATAAGTGGATGCTCGTCGCGCCAGGCACGTTCACAGGAACGCAGCCCCTAAAGTCATCGTGTCGGTCCTTCGCCCGTTCTGTGTCAAGTCTCTAAACGTGTCCCCGAGATTCTGACCGTCCTCTCCCCGACCCCGGACTGCCTGCTCTGCCGCGGGCGTCACTCCGAGGGGATGCGGCCGCCAGAGCCAGGCACCCCCAACCCGGCTACTCGGGCCACCGCGCCGTGGTCTCTCCGCCCTGAGCCGCAGCCCTACGATCGCCTGCCGCGGCAGTTGCGGGGTCGGGCTGGCCGGAGCCTCGGCAAGAAAAAACTATCAAGTCTAGCTCCTCGTCTGCTACCGGCGGCTCCCGCACCTCCCGGATCGCTGAGTGCAGTTACCGCGCCCCGGGCACCCAGAGGCCGTGAAGGGCGGCTGCGCCTCGGCCCGCGCAGCTGGGCTGGGCGGTTTCTCCGAAACTTGCCTCTCTCATCATCTCCCCTCTGGGCTCAGAAAGAAGCGAAAACCCCCATTGCTCTCCACAATCAGACCCTGCCCATCAGTACCCCCCAACTCCAGGGCGCTGGGGAGATGTGAGCGGAGGGGAGAACCTTTCCGAATTCGTGGACCCTCCAGGGCAGCAGTCCGCTCCCACCCCCACCCCAGGCTCCAATGATCCGCAGCCCCGCGCATTTCGAAAGGCTTCTCGGCTCGCCGGCGGCCCAGCAGGGCCGCAGCCGTGCGCTAGAGGGGCCGAACGCCGCTGCCGCTCGCGGGGGTCGCTTCCTCGCTTACACCCGCTCTGCCAAGTCCCCCGGTCTCATCCCTGCTGCCCAGAGAGGGGGATCAGGGCAGGGCAGGGAAGAACTAGGAAACTGTGAGCTCAGGGGCGTGATTGGAGACGAAGGGGACCGTGGAAATCTACAGGAGGGGAGCGGGGCGCGCGGCCTTTGAGGCCACGGTGCGCCCACCGGCCGCGCGCCAGGACCTTTCCCGGATGCCGAGGAACGTTGCCTTCGCCATTTCATCTTCACCCTTGTTAGCGTAGACACTTGTTCTTCCGAAGCTTTTTCTGACTGGGAAAAAAAAAGTGTTTTAAAAGCTCATCTAGGATCTGATGTTTTCCAGACTATGAGTTTTTTAAGTTTGCCAAGTTTTTCACCTGAGCCACACCCTATGCTCGCTCCCCTGCCTCCCGGCCAAACTTAAGGTAAAAATCCTGCGCAGTGGGGGAGGGCACGAGGGTCCACGGTCACGCTTGACCCTCCCTTCCCCCGGGTGTCGGCCTGGGGGCGGTGGCACCGCCTGTATCTCGGCTGGCGTGGGGGTGGGGCAGGGTGGGGTCAGCGCCAGCCGGGACCCCGCAGAACCGAAAGTGTAGCCTTCACACGTCAATTCGAGGCCCCGTGGACTGGGGGGGCCTCTCCGCGTGCTGGGCTTGTCCCGCGTGGGAACACACACAACAGGGAGGCAGGAATCAGTAAGTGAAAAGTACAAAAAGGGGTAGAGGCGGGCTGGGCGCGAAACATCGACGCGCCTCAAAAGGAAGGCGAAGAAAAGGCCGGGAGAAGGGCGCGCAGCCGGGGGACCACGGGGCCGGGGGATTGCATCATTGCAGCTCCCCCGCCAGAAAAAAATGGGCTCCGAACCGCGGCCACCATCATGGCGCTCGGGCCGGGCCGCGCTTCCCGCGCGCCTTCCCTGAGCGCACGGGGCCACGGGCGCTTCGCGTCGAGCGAGAGATCTGCGGACACGACCCCCGTCCCTCTTTGGCACCCGGCCCCCACCCCCTCCTGCCTTTTGTGTGCTTGTGGACATGTGTGCGTGCCTCTCCGCGAGTGTGTGTGCGGACCCGAGAACTCGCAGATTATTTTTTTCTCTCTCTTTTTTTCCCCCCCTCCTGTGCTGGTGGTTGTAAACTTGATTGGCATTGGCTGCGCCCACTGACCCCGGCGCCGAGTCCACTGAAGATTTAAGGTGGATCCGAGAGGCTGCAGCTTCGGGCGGAGTCTCGGGCTTTTAGCTAGTTTTGGAGGAAAAAAAAACACCCCAAACCGTGCGCCCGCCGTGTTTTTACGCATCCCCTGCGGTACCAGCCCCGGCGCCCGCCCCGCCCCGCTGGCTCCGCCCTCCTCTCGCTTCTTTCCCATTGGCCCGCGAGGGCAGTTTGAATTTTTTTTTTCCTTGGGACGCTTGTTTTCTCGAGGGAAAAAAAAACTACTGCGCCCCAGATCGTGTGATGAAAGCTACTTCGGCGGCCGGAGGTGGGGTGTTGTAGCCGGTTTTGTGTAGCCGGGAGGGAGGTGTGTTGATGGGCCGAGTTTCTAGTCCCAAACTTTCCTCCTAAGAGCGGTTGACAGTGTGCGCGCGGGTCGGGGGGCGTGGGGCCGCAGTAAACAATCTGGAGATGCTCGGGCTGGGGCACAGTGTAATATAAAAACGTTAATGGATGTCCAGGGCGCGTCGTTTCCCCGGCTGCTGGCCAGTAGGACTGGGAGGCGCTGGCAGGATCCCTAGAGAAGACGCACCTTTCCCCTGCCTTGGGAAAGCATCGGGAAGGGCGGGGGGCCGGGAAGTGAAGGTGGCCCGGAAAAGTAGACCGCATCATTTCCTAGGAGGCTGGGTGCGGGGGTGGGGGTGGGCAGTGGTAAGAAACCGAAGAAATACATCTATAGCAAAAATGTATTATTTCAAAGGTCATTCAGTCGGAATCCCTCAAGATTCAGGCAGTGTCATTTTTACTGAATTTGTGGGGGGAAATTGCTTTCTGTCTCTGATTTCTCGGGTGTTTTTGAATAAGGAAAATGTTAAAATCGAGGTAGAGATTGAGACTGAAATGATTGATTTTTGAGTCTGAAATGAATTCTTTCTTTACTGTGTAGGATACTGTTATTTGTATTACAGGCCTAATACAAATGATATCCTTCATTAGTTTATATCCCAGTTATGTTTTACTGTGAAAATTTTGAAAGTTTATGATAATTCGGATTATTCTCCAAATTACTGTATTTTCAGATTAGTGAAGTTAGCATACATACAGTTGTTTTCCCTCTTATTTTTGTGGCAGTGTACCTGGTGATTTTAACCAGATATCCAGCCCCAGCCTTCAGTGTAACAGTTCCTATTCTGTCCAACCTACAGTCCATTTTTTCTTTTTTTTTTACTACTAAACTTCTCCAATACTTCCTAACCTCACTAACCCTTTAAGGTTAGCCCAAAGCACCTGAGCTCTTCAGACCACCATCAACCAATCTCCTTGTGCCCTTAGCAAGGAATTTTTGATGTTAAAATGCCTCCCCCCGCCCCCACCCCAATAGATAGATTAGCCTCAGGAAGCAGTGATCTCGTTCCTGGAAGTCCTAGTCAAGCCCTAGTCTCCATGGCCCCTTAATAGACAGGGAAATAGCGGGAAAGATTCAAATAGCAAGTGAATATTAGGACTAGTGATTTTGTAAGTCTGTTCCAGACCTTTGAGACAGTGGATTTCCAGTCTTAGAATTTCTGGATTTCTACTAAATTAAGCAGTTTTTCTCATTCATTACCATTTTCTTTTCTTTCTTCTTCTTTTTTTTTTTTGAATATGGACGATTTTTAAAGTTTTTTTTTTTGGATTTGTCACAATATTGCTTTTGTTTTATGGCCAAAAGGCATGTGGGTCTTAGCTCCCCAATCAGATCGAACCTGCACCCCCTGAGTTAAAAGGGAAAATCTTGACCTCTGGACCACCAGGGAAGTCCCTCATTACTGTCTTCTAGTGTTATGTTATCCATTGTGGTAGCCAAAAGCCATATGTGGCTACTGAGCATGTGAATGTGACTAGTCCAAGTTGAGGTATGCTATAAATGTGAAATACACTCAGGGCTTCTAAGAATTAGTATGAAAAAAATGTTAAATATCTCATTAATAGTTTTTATATTTATTACATGTTGAAATCATATTTTTGGTTACTGGGTTAAAATATTAAATTTTATCTCTTTCTTTTTACCTTTTTTGTGTATGGATACTCGACAGTTTTAGTTTATAGATGTGACTCATTATGTTTTCATTTGGACATTGCTGTTCTAAACCAACATTCCTGGTGACTTGAAGCCCCATCTTTGAGATTGGTGGCTGATAATACTGAGGAGTAGGTGGTAACAGCTAGCTGTCATTCTCACTTCCCAAGTTAAATCAAGGCCCAGAGTGGCTCCAGGGACCCTTAAAGAAATCTGCCAGCACCCGACACCTACTGTTTAATCTTTAATACATAGTATTGGTTTTGAGCCCAGACTATGGAAACATGGTACAATTTTGTGGCTCAGTGCTAAATAATCCGCCTGCCAGTGCCAGAGATTCAGGAGCCTCAGGTTTGATCCCTGGAAGGGAAGGTCCCTTGGAGGAAGAAATGGCAACCCATTCCAGCATTCTGGCCTGGAAAATCCCATGGACAGAGGAGCCTGGGGGGCTATAGTCCACTGGGGCCTGAAGAGTCAGACACGACTGAGCGTGCACTGTCTGATGAAATCAGACTTGATCACAGCTTTCCACATTATGTAGAGAACCTGGGAAATTCAATATGTTAAAAAAAAAAAAAACATTTAGACCCCAAATGAAGTCTCCATGAGAAACTTTTCACTAGCCCTTATCAGCAGAGAGGAGGGTGGTGGGGAAATGAAAGTGTTCTCATTCTAAGATTGTATCTCTATCAGAAGATTTGAACGAATGAAAAGAGGTGCCATATTTTGGGGTAGGAATACTCAGCATGATAAAGATGGCAATAAATTTATACCTTTGCACTAAATTCTAAGTTCGTCTCATTCTATTTCATTCCATTGTTCAATCAGTTTAAACACTGAGAACTATTTTACTTTAATTACCGTAAATTTAGAATAGTTACAATTACTCATAGCACTAATCCTCCACACCCCAACCAGTACCTTTATACTTCTTTTATTTTTCAGAATTTTCCTGGCTTCTTTTCTTTGCCTTTTCTCCCTCACCCAGTGGATTTAAAATGAATTTCATCTGGTTGCAAATATAATTCCTATTGCGTTAAAATATAAATAAAGTGGGGTCTTTATCTCCCACATCATACCAGATAAATTCCTGAAGGATTAAAAAGTGAAAAATTTTTTTTAAAAAATGAAGCCATAGCCATACCAGAAGAGATCTCAGAGAATTTTTAAAATATAATCTCGGAATGAGGAAGGTCTTTCTAAGTATGACACAACATATAAAATCCATAACCTGAGTTTCCCCCAAATCATTACACTATTCTGGCTTTGCCTTCTTACTCATAAACCCAGTGACATAAAAGTGTTCTGCGTGGAAAGCTCACCATAGAAAGTCAAAAGACAGTAACATGGTGTTGGTGGCTGCACAACAAGGTGAATGGACTTAGTGACACTGAACTGTATGCTTGAAAGTGGTTAAGATGGGAAATCTTATGTTACATTGTGATTAACTGTGTGTGTGCTCAGTCCTGTCTGACTCTTTGCAGCACCATGGATTGTGGCCTGCCAGCCTCCTCTTTCCGTGGGCTTTTCCAGGCAAGCATACTGGAGTGGGTTGCCATTTCCTTCTCCAATAATTAACTATAATAGTAAATAAATATGCAACTCCAGTGGTCCCCCCTTATCCTAGTGGATGTATGAGTCTGAGGATAGTACTGAACCCTGTATACACTGCTTTTTTCCTAAACGAAGGAGAGGTTATGTTAGACAGTGGGATGCTTTTTGTCCTGGGTGGGATGGGGCCAGACCCTTGAGACATTTCATCATGCTACTCAGAAGGCCCTGCAATTTAAATATGTGAATTACTTCCAGAGTTTTTCATTAAATATATCTGGACCCCAGTTAACTGAGATTAACTGAAACTGAGAACATTGAAAATCTGGATAAGGAGAGACCACCATCCTGGAAGAATTTTATTTTTTTAATAGTTAATTGTTTTTTAAAATTTTTTTTTAAAAATTATTTTATTTGGCTGTGCTGGGTCTTTGTAGCTGCGTGGGATTTTCTCTACTTGGGGGGGATAGGGGACTGCTCTCTCGTTGTGCACAGGCTTCTCATTCCAGAGGCTTCTCATTGTGGCGGCTTCTCTGTTTCGGAGCGCAGGCTGTAGACCGTTTGGGTTTCAGTAGTTATGGTTCCTGGGCTCTAGAGCACAGGCTCAGCAGTTGTGCATGGGCTTCGTTGTTCCCAGGCGTGCGGGATCTCACCAGACCAGGGGTGGAACCCGTGTCTCCTGCATTGTCAGGCAGATTCTTTACCACTGAGCCACCAGGGAAGGCCCTGGGAGAATTTTTAAGTTCATCCATGTCCCACCTAAAAGAATCTCACAAGACTCTGGATCCCATCTTTTTTGAGGCTCTGAAATGAGACTGTTCAGGGTAGAGTTACCCAGCTTACTCCCTGCAAGACCATTTTGAAAAGTAACTTCACCTTCCCTGGTGGGTCAGGTGGTAAAGAATCTGCCTGCAATGCAGGAGACCTGGGTTTAATCCCGCGGTTAGGAAGATCCCCTGGAGAAAGTAATGGCAACCCACTCCAGTATTCTTGCCTGGAGAATTCCTTGGACAGAGGAGCCTGGCAGGCTACAGTCCATGGGGTCACAAGGAGTTGATCATGACTGAGTGACTAAGAATTTCACCTTTTATAGTTTCTATTTCTTTAGCTATATAATGAGGATGCTTATAGTTCTCTCAAAGGATTATTAATACTGTTTGGTGGCATAATGTGTGTGCAGTAATTAGCACAGTACCTGGTATATAATAAATAATAATCATTGTGTTAATATATACAATTAATAAGAACAGCCAGGGTTTTTTTTTTTTTTTATGTCCACGCCATGTGGCATGCAGGATCTTAGTTCCCTGACCAGGGACTGAATGCATGCCCCCTGCAGTGGAAGCTTGGGGTCCTACCGGTGGACCACCAGGGAATTCCCCAAGACACCCAGTTCTTATTTTGGATTCTCAAGTAACCACAACTAGCACGTTCTAACCTTGTCAATTCATTTTCTCATTTTTAATGACTGCTATTGTTACACTTAAGAAAAACAAATCATTTTAGAGGAGGGTGGTAACTTAATGAACAAAATGAATATATTGCAAAAACTGGTTGAAATGGTAGAGTTTAACGTGGGAGTTCCCTGGTAGCCTAGTGGTTAGAATTAGCTTTCACTGCTATAGTCTGTGTTCAGTCCCTGATGGGATAAGTGAGATCCTTCAAACCATGCACCCAGGCCAGGCCAAAACAAAACAAAAAGGCATTTGTTTAGTTTGAAAAGTGTGTTAGTCACTTAAGTCATGTCCAACTCTTTGCCACCCCATGGACTGTAGCCTGGCAGGCTTCTCTGTCCGTGGAATTCTCCATGCAAGAATACTGGAGTGGATAGCCATTTTCTTCTCCAGGGGATCTTCCTGACCCAGGGGTTGAACTTGGGTCTCCCTTACTGCAGGCAGATTCTTTTCTGTCTAAGCCTCCAGGGAGGTTTAGGGTCATCATTAATTATCTTGGAAAGGACCTGGTATAGATTTGTTTGTGGTACTAAGTCAGTAACACTCACACCCATACAAAAGACGATGGCAAACTG